CACTCCCTGAACTGAGATCCCTCTCCTCATCCCTCACCCCTTGCTTCCTAAATAAATGGTGTAAAATGAATTAATAGGTAGAATTAGGCACCAGGCAAATTTTAAATAAGTAAGTTCAAGTACTCACTGTAGTTACTGAACCTAAATCTTTGTATAGGGAAAATAAATTAAAATAGAAGGTTTTGCAACTGAATGAAAAAATTTATTCTAGGTTCAAGGAAAATTTACAGAATAGAGTAAGCTGTAAGTAAATTTTTTGTGGGTTTCTCCGTCCCCGATTTCACTGATGGGAAACATCACCTAAATATTCCTAATACAATTACTACACCCACATAATCAGCATAATAAATATATAAGCCTGTCAAGATGATAGTCTAATGCACTTGCCATGCTGTTATTTTATAGTGAATTCCCCATGTTCTTGGCAGCTGTTTGAGTGCCAATCAGGCTAAAAGGTTAACAACAGAAAAGCAATTGCTCTCAAAATAAAAGACCTCTAGTTGAACCCCTGCATAAAAGAAATCTCAGTCCCTTTTTAGCACTAAAGGCTGGGTTTCATTTTGATCTCACACTAACTTTCTGTCGGTGTGTGTGAACTACAGGTGCTTCTGTGTAGACTCCAGTGCTAACATGCATGGTGTCCAAGTACTGATGGAAACTCTAACAAGAATCTCCATGCTTTTGAGTGTGCTGCTGAAAATGCACATGACTTCCCCTATCCAAGGGAGTAACCCTGCTTCAGAGTGAGATTTCTCCAAGTCTGAAGGCTCCAGTTGCTTTTGATGACTCTTTTCTTTCAGATCACGAGGTGTGCAGATATGAGAGATCACTTAAGTCCAATGAAAAGTAAGATCCAGACCCTCTTCTACCTGCAGCTGGTAGTGGCTGAAGTGGTTACAACTGCCTTGCTGCATGTTACCACTGCCCCCAGGGTCACTGCCTAATACCTCAGTGTCTAATCAGCTGATTACCCTAGGCAGCTGCTCTTTACTATTGTGACAAATGGTGTGAAGCTGCACAATAAATGAGGACGACTGTGGAAGGTTGGTAGCAGTTTCATACCTCAAGTAAACCCCCAAATTATTTCTGTAGTGAAAGAAATAATGCTGCCAGCTGCAGACAGAGAAACCTCCTGAGAGCACGCAGAATTAGATTAAGGGTGAATTCATTTACTGCAATTACTGCAAACTATGTACTGGAATCTAAGTACTGGTTTCACTTGGTTACGCCCCAACCTCTCTCAGTGAGTTCTTAAAGGGGCTTGGGTACTTTGATTCAACCTGGCAGTGCACAGGAGAAAACAACAAAATTCTCAGGTTGAATGACAAACTTTTACTTGCAAACTTTAGAACACAGGTAGAATTAGGCACCAGGCAAATTTTAAAGCAACATCCAGTCAAAGTAAGGCACTTCATAAACTAGCACACTCTAGCCCATGCAACTTTAAGTTACCCAAATTTCGAGATGAAGAAGTTAGGAGAAGAAAAAGACACACATTACCAGTGTGTGCTTCATTTGATCCAAAGCCCCTCCAGACTACGCTGCCCATCTAGACCCCTTCTAACTATCTACCTTAGTAACAACTCTTCCTATTTGCCCCAGTGTTTGCCATAGAAACCATGGAAACTTTTACCAAAAGTAGGCAAACTGTAATAACATGCAATAGGGGCTTCTTTTGTGGCTGAAGAGGTGAAACATACATAATCTGAGGTGACAACACACAGACGTACTCACTGATGCTGTTATGCACAGTGATTTCTGTAACAGCCAGGGTTCTTGAAGCCAGGAGTGTGTTTACAGCTTTGAACAGAAATGTGTAGAGAACAGTTTCTAGGAATCACAGATAACCAGAAAGAGCTGAGGAGGACAAAGCCATGGCAGCATGAAGCTGGAAAAACTGCAGCAGGGAGATCAAGTTACTTGGAAACAGCAGTTCTGAGAAATCAAAAGTAATGGTATGCATTTGCCACCAAAATGTGCTTCCAACTCTTGGGCCTCATTTCACATCTCTCTCAAATCAACCCAAGTTTTTTTATTTGCATAGAAGAGGTTTCTGTGATCACTGAGACAGCATAGAAACCGTTATAAATGAAGTTAGTAACTGTGATGCTCTACTCTGAACACAGGACAATTATCCAAAGTACTTCAGACACAGAATGAAAACAAAAACAAGCAATGGCTGTGAAGGAGAAGCACTGTGAAACTAGATGTTGAGAATAATCTGGGGGAAAAAACCCTAACCTTTAATTCTGCAACTGTAAGACCTGGAGAATCAAGAACTGCGAGATTTTATGGAGCTGAATGAGCTCAGGGAGAGGAAATACCAAGAATTTGTTTATTTATTATATTCCCCATACAATGAGTTGTTCCTGGAACACTCAGAGGGGAAAAAAATCACAGCTTTTTTTTTCTTTTTTTTTTTCTTCTCCCTCATTCTATTTCAAAGTTCAAATAAATCATCAGGAAAACTTCATTCTTAGCAGTCATGGCCTTTGGAGTTGATTCCCAGTTTTTCTGAGGCTTTTACAAGCCCTCACAGCAGAACTAAACAGCCATGGAGTAAATGAACCCTCACTCCACCACGGGCAGAACTGCTTCATACTCTACACAGCAACCACAGAAAGCAGAATGCATAGTTTACATTTAACATATTCTGAGCTGAAAAGGGTAGTGAAACTGACACTCAGCAGGAGGTACTTTTATTTGCATGTGAAGATCAGCTCTTATATATCTGGACTTCTGAATGAAAAGTTCGAAAACATGCCTTTTATCTGCCAGGTACAGAATTAGATCTGGTATCCGGCAACACTGAAAGTGAACAAACAGCATATTTTAAGTTGTAACTATTCATGCAAAAGACAGACAGCAGTATTTAATATCTCTCTCTCTCTCTCTCTTTTTTTTTTAATGGCTCACCATGCAATGCAAGCAAGTTATTCTGCAATGCCAAGAATGTTGGATTCCTACTAGCAACAGTCAGCAGTTTCTTTTTGGTTGCGAAAGCCATAAGAGGCTCTGGCTGTCTGGCAGCTGTGTCAGAGCTCGAGGCGGACGCTGACAGCAGCAGCACCTCCAGCTCTGTGTGTATGTGTAACATGTACCCATTCCCACAATCCTGCGGGGAGAGGGGTCTCCCACTTTCCCTTTGCCTGCTGGCCCCTCCTCTGCCACGCTGTTGGGAGGAAATGGCTAGGAAGCCAAGCTTACTATGTTAGAATATGTTTTTTATTACAAACATTAGGCTGACAATGTGGCAGAGCAGAGCTTCTCCAGCCATTACACAATACTAGGAAATTTGGAGTTTAATTACATTACAGTATTGGGCTAGCTTGACATCAGTGTCTCCTTTTGCAGAAAGACAGCCTTGTTTACAAAGAAAATGCCTTGATGCCAAACCTGCTGATGGAAAGATCCCACACCTGCCCTTGGAAGAGGTTGTAAGGGGGAAGATCCCACACCTGCCAATGGAAGAAGCTACAAGGAGGGAGATACCACTTTGCTGATGAAAGAGGCTATAAGGAGTGGGGACAGGGGTCTTTTTTTACCAGCATAGCCTGTTCAACTTTAAAGTATATTTGTAGCAGTGCTCTCCCCCTACTGCCTAAGGAGCACCAGGGCAAATAGAGTTTAATAACCCAATAAAAGTACACACTAACTACTGAAAGACTAAACTACTAAGCTCACCATGAGTGGGCAGTGTGTGCTCGTAGCCCAGAAAGCCAAATGAATCCTGGGCTGCATCCAAAGGAGTGTGGCCAGCATGTCAAGGTAGTGAGACTTCACTTTGAGTGCTGCATCCAGTTCTGCTGTCCCCAACACAGGAAGGACGTGGAACTGTTGGAGCAAGTCTAGAGAGCCTTGCTGTAGTCTAGCCACAGAGTTGATAAGAGGACTGGACCACCTTTGCTGTGAAGACAGGCTGAGAAAGTTGGAGCTGTTCAGCCTAGAAAAGAGAAGGTTCCATGGAGACCTCATAGCAGCCTCCCAGTACCTGAAGGAGCCACAAGGAAACCGGAGAGGAACTTTTTGTCTGAACTGTAGTGATAGGATAGTGAGTAATGGGTACAAATTGAAAGTTAGATATAAGGAATAAATTCTTCACTGTGAGGGTAGCGAGACACTGGAACAGGTTGCTCAGGGATGCTCTGGAAGCCTCAACCCTGGCAATGTTCAATGCCAGGTTGGGTAAAACCTTGAGCAACCTGGTCTAGTGGAAAGTATCCCTGCCCATGGCAAGGGAAGGTTGGGAATAGATGATCTTTAAGGTCCCTTCCAATCTCTTAACCTTCTATGATTCTATGAAACCAGCACTGGCAGAGCTGAGGTGCTATAAACATGAATGTGTATTAATACACTTGTGTAACAAGTGATAATCAACTTATCAGCACTGTATCTCTGGGCCCCTCAGGTCCAGAGAAAGGAATGGGACTGGGGAAGGGTCTGGAGCACCAGGAGCGGCTGAGGGAGCTGGGGAGGGCGGCAGGGGCTCAGCCTGGACAAAAGGAAGCTCAGGGGTTACCTTCTCTCTCCCTGCAACTCCCTAACAGGAGGGTGGAGTCGGGGGAGTCGGGCTCTGCTCCAAGGAAACAAGGGACAGGATGACAGAAAACGGCCTCAAACTGCACCAGGGGAGGCTTAGGATGGACATTACGAGGAATTTCTTCACAGAACAGGTTATTAGACACTGGAAGGCGCTGCCCAGGGAGGTGGTGGAATCACCGTCCCTGGAGATTTTCAGGAAAACACTGAACGCGGCGCTCAGCGCCAAGGTCTGGTTGACATGGAGGCGTTCGGTCACTGGTCATCGTTTGGACTCGATGCCATCAGAGCTCTCCAGATTCGCGACTCTCCATGTTTCCATTCCCGTGTCTGTGTATTAGTGCACTGTCCCCGGCGCACCCCGCCCTCCCACGCCACTGGCGCCTGCGCCATTGCGGGCTCCCGAAGGGGCGCGTGCGCGTCTCGCCCTCCCGCCGGCACCGCCTCCTTCTCCTCCTCCTCTTTTTCTCCTCCCCTTCCCGGCCGCTTCCAGGGGAAGGGACGCGGGGCCTGGAGCGCGGACATCGCCCGCCGCCATGCAGATCACGCTCAAGACCCTCCAACAGCAAACCTTCCGCATCGACATCGACCCCGAGGAGACGGTGCGGACATTCCTGGGCTCCCTTCATCCCGCCCCGGGACGCGGCGGTGGGGAGGGATGCGGGGATCCTTCCCTTCGCCCCCCGCGGGAAAAGAGGGGGATGGACCTCTCCGGTGGGGATGGTGGGGCATCAGTGAGAGGATGGGACTGCAGGGGTGGTGCAGTGGAGGATTTTTGGGGGTTCGGGGAGGTGGTGGGGGTGGAGGGAGGGAGGTATGAGCGCAGCAGGGGGTGATGCGGGATCCCCTTTCCCTCGGGATGCGGCTGGGTGAGGGTGACTTCCCATCGCTCAAGGAAAGGGGCTGCCGCGGCCAAAGCCCCCGGCGGAAGGACTTTATGCCTTGTTTTGAAGGAGAACGCCCCGGAGGTGGGAGGTGGGATAGCCCAGGAGGTGGGAAAGGGGGAATAGCCCGAGAGGTGGGAGAAGAAATAAATAAACTCACGTAGACCTGGGGAGGAGGGGAGCACTATAGATAGCGAAAGTTTTTCCTTTCGGGAATCGAGGTGCCCACACCCATGGATTAGCGGGTAATGGGCACAGATGGTTTATACTGGGAGTACTCGGGTGGGGGAGGGCGGTGCAGCAGAAGGCAGACGTGGTGGTCCTTCCCATGGATTCCCGCCAGGAAAGGAGGTGCTGGGAAAGCTGTGGGGCTTTTCTTGTGGGGCAGGAATGTGTGTGCAGCAGAGGAGCTCGTGTTTGCTCCCAGGTGCATCGCAGGTATGTGTGCTGTGCGTGGTGCAAGTGGGTGAGTGCGGGAAGGGTTTGTTGTTTTGTCTCGCAGGGTGAGCTGCAGTGATTAATTAACCTGCAGGTTAATTAGAAGGTGAAGGAGTGCACGGGAGACTCTGCTGACCTCGGTGGAGTCTCCTGCAGAGGTGTTGGGCTGTGTGGTGGAATTCACAGCAGCATGAATCCCTCATTGGTGTGTTTACAGTGACTGTGTGTCTCTCACGATGTTGCGAGCGGGGAGGCCTGTTGTGCGCTCAGGTGAATGTTTTCTACCGGCCCACAGGAGTCTGCTGAAAAATCCTCGGGGAAATGCAGCGTTCTGTGATAAGAGGAAGGGCCTATAAGTGAGTTGGCATGGTTGGAAGTTGCCTTGTCATCAGTAGGGATGTTTGCTTTAAGAGCCAAGCCCAGGCACAGTTATGGCATTGGTTTGAAAAATTTGGGGAGGCTGGCAGGTGAAGGCTTGCCTGCAGCAGCCTTTCATGTGACAGGTGGGCAGCGAAGCTCTGGAAACTATGGAACATTGTATCTGCTTTTATAAAGTCTGTTTACCCTCTTCCCCTCCCATCTTCAGAAAAAAATAAAGGATGACTGTTAAAGTTGGACTAAGAGCTCATTTGTGTGAGCAGTGTGGCCGAGGGATGTGGCAAATGTGTAGGAGAAGCATGTGTTAGAAACTTTCAAATATTTAAAACATCTGTCCTTCCTGTTACAGAGTAAGGACTCTTCATCTTTTCTCCTGCTCCCTGTATTCGTTGAGGTCCTGGGAGGTAAATTCAGGGAGAGGAATGTTGCCAGTCAAAGCCCTCACCAGTTTATGAGGCAGTAGAATGCAATGGCTATAAGTTGGATTGTGGGAAATGAGACTGCACCCTCTGTTTACAAATATAGATGTTATGGGAGCTCAGAATAAGAATGCTTCTCATGGGCATAATACTTCAGGTTTTGGCCAGGAGTGGATGGTAAGACAGAGGGAAATATGGGTAGGATTTGAGGAGAACTTTGTTTTACAGAGGGCAGGATGAAGACTTGATCTTATTATTACCCGTATGGGTAAAAAAATATATAAAGTTTCCTTGGCATACTTTTTTAGAAAATTATGAAGAAATTATTGTTGAAAATGTTCTGTTACAAAGCATAGAACTTAGTAAAGAAAAGAAAACTTTTGAACCATCATCTAGAAACTGAATCTTAAAATTGGAAAATGCTTTGAAATGTGTTAAGCAAGTGTTTCAAAAGTATGTGCTTGGAAGTTCTCAGTCTTATTTTTGGAAAATACCAATTTTAGCTATATGCACTGCTTCTTAGATTAATTTTCTAACATCTTGAAACAAATGTGTTTCGTGGAGTTTAGGAGACATTACTTTTAGTCCTTGGACCATGTGTGTATTTCTCACACAGAGGTAGGCTTGTTTACTTGGAGCTGTGCCCTTTACTGTGACAAGGCCAAAATCATGTAGTTGTGATAGACAGAGGAAAGCTGTTGCTCCAAAGATGGATTCTGGTTCTCTAAAACTGATTTCTGTTTTCTAGCAATTTCTCCCCTTATTCTCAATACCACATTAATCTGAAGAGACTTGATGTTACTGTGCAAGGTAGCATTCTAACAAGAGTTTATGCTTGTAGCTGAGTTGTCATTAACAGTAAGGAATATTTAAACAAACCTTCCAGTGAGAATTTGAAGCAACACATTTCCTAATAATTAGTTAGCCTTGTTATGACTTTTTCACAAGAAACTGATCTTTTTCCCCTATTAAATCAGACAGTTGAATTTTAAACTTGCCTTCCATTATGTGACTTAAATTTTGGTTTAGTTGTGTTTTAAAGTATTGGCCAGCTGAGTAGTTTGACTGAACAAAAACTAGACTTGAAGCCATCCTGCTTGCCAAAGTGCTGGGAGAAGACTGTCAAATATTAGGACTGGCTAAAGAAGTTGAAAAGGTTTAGCCTCAGGCCCTGTTACTGGGGAAGGCTTGTCATCAAATGGAGAGATTTTTGCAGGCATGGCTGTTTTTGTCGAGTTTTGGGGGTGCCAGTGTTGCACTTGGGCTCTGTGGAAGGGTGGATCTACCCATGGTGATCATTCTGGTGTTCCATTCAGGTCCTGGGCATTCAGACTCAACTAGGATAAATGAAAGTGTGTATCTATCTGCACAAGCTGCTGCTTCTGTTTGTTGGATGTCTGTGACAAAGTAAATACATTGAGCATTATGTTAGCAGCAAGTAATAAGCCCTGTCTGACACAGATGCAGACCTATGTACCCACATCCCTTGTCTGAGGTGACAGTGATGACCTTGTAGGCTTCTAAATGTAGCAACTCGGTTGTAGTTATCACTATGTAGACCTGAAGCAGGCTTTAAAAAAATCTCAACAAACACTTAACTTCCTTTGGAAGTGAAACGCCAGGCAAAAGTAAGTCTGTCTTGTTTGATTTTCAGCTCCCCTGCGCCATTAACCTAAAAACCTGTTTGACAGAATGCAGAGGGGTGCAAGGAACATTCGGGATGTCAGGAGTCTTTTGGCCAAAGTCTCTGTCACATAATACAGGCTTTCACATTTCACTGTTCCACCACAGTGTTTGAACACCCAGGGGGAAGCCAGCTTGTTTAACACCGTGTCAGCAGAACACTGAGCTGTGGGAATTTGAGCTTCTGTCTGTTCTGGTGCATCCATATGCTCTATTGTTAAACCTGTTTATGGGGATTTTTGGATCTTCAGTGCTAGAAGCTCCTGGTCTTTAAGTTTAGAAATTTAGGCTGGACACTACCTGAAGTTCTCTTAAATGTGTGGGGAGTATGTTCCAGCAAAAATGAAGCATGATTCAAAGGGTATGTAATAAGGAAGAAGTGAGGTTTGGCAAATACTTCATTTTTTTCCAGATAAAACAGGTATACTGCAAGGAAAAAGATATACTACTTTCATTTTTCAAAAGGCAATGCAATAGCAAAGAACCTCTATTTTCTGGTTTGTAGGGAGTATAAAAAACATTTTGACTTTGTAACAGCAATGAGGTGGTTCATATGAGGGAGGTAGCTACTTAATAATTGTATGGAGGGTGTCTATGGTAAAAGGACAAGTGCTTTAATTCTCTTTAGAGAGTGCAGTCATAAATTTATGAATTAGTTGAAACTGTAGTCTGAAGGGGTAGGACACGAAAGAGAATGCTGTTCATGAACCCACACAATTTTATTAAGTTACATCTGTTTGTATCTATTCTTTATATTGAGAGCTGTACTAAAGCATATAGTAAAAAAAGGAGATAAGTATTAAAAGTCTGTGTAATTTTAAGGCATGCTTTGCATCAGTTCTTGTTCTTTTAGGACTAGGAAAGATGCATGAAAACAAATAATGGGTTCTTGTAAAATATATCAATCATAACTGTGGGCTTCTGTTGAAAAAATCCCTCCTGGTCCAGCAGAATAACAAGAGTTAACACTATTTGGTATGTAAGTGAACAAACTATAAGTAGTAGAAGTAGTAGTACATTTATTTATCTCATTTTTCTTTTATATAATAGAAGAAGATATAGACATAATAGATTTAATTTTGGTCATTTCAGTTTTGCTGAATATGTGGTTTATTGTATTTGTCAGAAAAATTAAATTTATAAAGCAGTGCTGCTGGAATCTGAGGCTGTTGCTGGGTGACATAATCAGAGCTGACTTTAAGGCTTTTAACATATGAAGAAGTATGAACCTACTCTTACTATTTCCTTCCTACATGTCTCAAGGCAGGTTAGTCCAGCAGCAGTTGTGGATAAAAGAATTGTATGTGTATTTCCCTGAGAGTTTATCATTTTTAGTGGTTAGAGGAAAAGTGCTCTCATGGTTCCTGTTCAAAACCCAGAAATACCCTTTTGGGTTAAAGATGCCTTTCTGTTTCAAGTCCTGGTATTTTTCTCTAAGTATTCTTTGATTTTAGAGTGAGTATTTTTTTGCTCTTATAGAGGATTGTTATGTTGCTCTTGCATCTCTTCAGGATTTTATTGGTGAGTGTTTGTACTTGCACAGTCAGAGGAGGTGTGAATTTGGAGGGTTTGTACTTGCTGCTTGAGGCTCCATACATGACTCTGCAAAATCGTAACTTCAGAGATTACCAGAGTAAGAGTATCACAGAGCATTTCCTTTTTTCCTATTATTTTCATACTTTGCAGATTGTAGCATTTATGAGAGTTGTGTTCTCTGATAATTCATGTTTATTTAATAAACTCTCTGGGGTTATTTTTTGCTACTACTTTGCTTTGGTGGATATTCTTTTTCCTGCTTCC